CTCACATGGCAGAGAGAGAGAGAGAGTGAGCTCTCTTGTGTCTCTTCTTATATGGGCACTAATCCAATCACGAAGGCTCTACCCTTGTGTCCTAATTACCTCCCTAAGGTCCCATCTCCAAATACCATCACATTGGGAATTAGGGTTTTGAACTAAGAATTTTGGGGAGACACAAGCATGCAGTCCATAGCAGTATAGTAATGTATGTTAAACTTTCCTCTATATTTGTGTTCTGTCCTTTTATCTAAAAACTTTTGCTTTTATTCATATGGATAGATTGACAATAGTGTTATTGGCAATAAAACATTTTAGGACAATTATAATTTATCATTATATAGATTTTACTTGATACTTTGTTTCTCTGAATATATATTTTTTTGCTTTGCATTGGCCATTGCTGATTAATACATTTTTCATAATGTATGTGTAAGTATATATGTATGTATGCACATGTCTGCATGTGTATATATAAAATTGCCATCGGAAATTGCCTTTTTTAAAGCTCAAAAATGGTCAATTATTGTAAATTTCGTATGGTTTCACCTAATTGTTGATCATTTTGTCTCTCACCTTTCCATTTTGTTTCTGATGTCTCCTGTAAGTAGCAGTCCAATCTGAATGCTCCACTTTTTAATAATTTGCATGTATTGTCATAACATATATAACATTTGTCTTTCCTTTGTTATCATGTTTTATCCTTTTTCATGCTTTCTTACTGCTTCCTTTGTTGGGGTATTTTGCTATAAAGGTCACCGTTTATTTGTATTGATCTTCTTTAGTGGTTTGAATAGTAGAAACCCTGTTTATAATCTCACGAGTACTCGGGCTGGCCGGTCAGCTCAGTTGGTGAGAGCGCAGCCTTATCACACCGAGGTCATGGGATTGGATCGCTGTGACAGCCAGCCACAAAAAACAGTAAAGGTTTAACAGTAAAGCACTAATTTCACTAGTGCTTGCCATTAAGTTTATCAAAGCTATCTCTTAAATATTTCTCTGGTTATGGAAATAAAGAAGAATTACTTTTGATTCCCACTGCACGTGTTTAGGAATTCAGGATATCTCTAATTCCACCTTTTTTCCTCCCCATAACTTCCAATTGTTGATCATGTTTATTGCTGTGGATGTTGTTTCTACCATGTACATTTCTTTCCATGTATCACTTTTGACTTTGGAGTATAATCTTTGACAACCATATTTAAAGGTTAGAGAGAGAGCATGGCCCTGGGCCCCAGAGGCGGACGGTAGGCAAGTGGGGGCTCTCCAGGGGCCTTGGTGGCAGGTGTCCTCGCAGGATCAGGCTGCAGAGGGGGCTCCCCTCCTTCCTCCTGCCTGACCCTCCCCTGCCTGCCCACTCCCCACCGCCCAGGAGAGCCGGCGGCCCGACCCTCTGAGAAAGCCAGGAACGCTGTGCACCACGCCGAGGGATTCGGAAGCCCGAGGGGTTTAAGACATCTGGTTTCTGGATTTAACAGCCTGATAGAGGAATAGCCACCGAGGAGCCTGTGTGAGTGTCTCAGGAGATCTACAATAAGAAACACCTCACGACGTGGAGCAGGAGTGTCAAGATGAAGAGCCCAGAAGCGGGGAGATAAGAGACACGGCGCCAGGTCCAGAGAGGACTGTGGATGCGACCCGAGCTGCAGACAGGCAGGAGCCGTGGGACAAGGTGACGGGCCACAGAGGGTGCAGTGAGCTAAAGAAACGCTGCCACTCTCAGATTAGAAGTTATCGATGTCCAGAGAACATTGACTGAAGGAGACACACACCTGGACACACTCTGGCAACACTTCTGAACCCTGAAAATAACGAAGAACTCTGCACACCTCCAGACAGAGCGAAAGGGGCTCAGGGTGAAAGGGCCACGGCATCGTCAGCCTCCTTGCCACGGAAGTGCCACGATGGGGCTGCCAAGGCTGAGCTGTGCCCCCAAGTCCATGTGTGGAAGCCGTCACCCCCATGCCTCAGGATGTGACTGTATGTGGAGATGGGGCCTTTGCAGAGGTAATTAGGTTAAAATGAAGTCATTAGAGCGGGCCCTAATGCAATTGGACTGGTGTCCTTATGAGAAGCGGGGATTAGGACACAGACGCACACAGTGATGACAACTTGAGAACACAGGGAGAAGACACCATCTTCAAGCCAAGGAGAGAGGCCTCCTCCAGGAAAAACCGACCCTAGTGCACCCTGATCCTGGGCTTCCAGCCTGGGAGAGAATAAATGTCTGCTGATTAAGGCCCCCATTCGCGGGTACTTTGTCACAGCAGCCACAGGAAACTAACACAGGGCCGTATCCAGACGGTCGAAAGAAAACGACCATGTCAAAAAATCCCTTACGTAGACAAGATCTTTCTAGACGAAGTTGAAAAAAAGATATTTTTGGACAAGTG